GCATCTCTTCTAGTTAAGAGAAGGGAACCAGAACTGCTTTTCATGCAGGAACAGGTTTTCTTCGGGCTAACTACAAAACTTCAGCTTATTTCACTCCTTGACATTGTCAAAGCGCATTTTGTAAAGATAACTTTTTCCGCTTTATCAGCTTTTTTTATATTCTATTCCATTAATGTTTAACCTCCCTCAAAAAGCCAAATAATATAAATTCTGTTGTTAAAAAAAGCGTTTTACCTGTTTTCGTGAATTCGCTACCCAAAGATCACTATGCTCAAAGGACGGGGCAAAATTTCCAGGAGAGAGGCATTAATTTTTTTTCCCACGAGGTTACAAAGAGAAAATGCAATGATTATTATTAATGTAACCATCAGGTATACTCTACCCACGAGGTTACGGACAGCAAATGCAGTGATTATTTTTAATGTAACCATCAGGTATGTTCTACCCACGAGGTTACAAAGAGAAAATTCAATAATTATTATTAACGTAACCTTCAGGTATGTTCTACCCACGACGTTACAGATAGCAAATGCAGTGATTATTATTAAATGTAACCGTCAGGTATATTCTACCCACGAGGTTACGGAGAGCAAATGCAGTAATATTATTAATGTAACCATCAGGTATGTTGTACCCACGAGGTTACAAAGAGAAAGTGCAATGATTATTATTAACGTAACCTTCAGGTATGTTCTACCCACGAGGTTACAGAGAGCAAAAGCAGTGATTATTATTTTAAATATAACCATCAGGTATGTTCTACCCACGAGGTTACAAAGAGAAAATGCAATGATAATTATTAACGTAACCTTCAGGTATGTTCTACCCACGAGGTTACAGAGAGCAAATGCAGTGATTATTATTAATGCTACCATCAGGTATATACCTGCCAACTCTCACGCCTTAGGCGTGAGTCTAGCCTGCGAAAACATCCGTTTCTCCTCGCTCTTCGCCGCTGGGGACGTTTCGCGAGGAGGAACGTCTGCGACTCAGCGACAGAAATTCCATACTGATGACGCAAAATCTGTCCGGAATCTGGTCAGAAGCGCTGATTGGTCGACAGAGTAGTTACATTGTTTTAGCTATTGTTTACGAATGACAGACAAAAGACAAAAGGCCACAGAGGTCAAATGTAAACGCGAAGAATCTCTAGCAAAACAGTCAATATTTGTTGAATATACTCTTCTCTAGAAGAAGAATTTGAGTTCTGCTGGAGCTCGTTGGCAGATGAACACAAAAATTTACCAAAATCGACCAGAAGACACGTAAAACTGTACAAATTTGTATTTGGAACCCCATGACTACCGGATTTATTATGTAAACATTGATTTGCGTCATCAGTATGGAATTTTTGCCACTGAGTCGCAGACGTTCCTCCACGCGAAACGTCCCCAGCGGCGAAGAGCGAGGAGAAACGGATGTTTTCGCAGGCTAGCGTGAGTCTCACGCCTGCGAGTCGAAAACTTCGATCTCACGCCGGCTCACGCCTAAGGGCCAATTTCTCACGCCTGATTGAGAAATGTGAGTTGTTGCCGTCTTGCTTGACACCAATTTTCAAAAATATGTTAACTCAGACCCATGTAAGGAACGAAAACCATGTGTAAAATGAATAAATGACAATACCTTCCTCGCGAACTCTGATTTTGTGGATAAGCGTTTTCTCGATAACTTCGCCTTCGGCAGACCTCGGACGTCTTCGGAAGACTTCGGACTTCGGGAATCTTCGGAAATGATCGTGTCGTCTGCAAAAATCCCAGCACTCCCAGGATAAAAATCTCACGCTTATAACTCAGAAAAAGTTGGCAGGTATACAGGTATGTTCTACCCACGAGGTTACAGAGAGCATGCAAATGCAGTAACAATTATTAGATTTTAGTGCAACTATCAGGTTGAGTTTCTCCATTAAAAGAGTTTTTTGCTAGGGTTAAACAAGTTTGGCTTTCATGAGTTTCAAGGTGCAAGAAATTATCAGTATAATTATAGCACACAAACATTGTCATCGAATTCTTCGCACGTAGCCGGAATAAGCCAAGAAATGAAGCATATATAACGAAAAATCGTCCTCAGATGATCTCCATATTAAGTAAATGATACTAAACGTTGCGAAAGAAATTACTGTTTGTATCCGTCCTATCCATCGTAAAAGCGAGGGGTCATCGCATGACATCCGGTATATTAAACAGAGGTAATACTCACGGGTTTCAAGAGCTGTATGCACTATTTTTCGCCGAGAAACAAATTTAAACTTCAATTCTTACCTTACAGTAGTCCGTTCTTTTACCTTGCATTCGACAACAAATCCGTTAAAGGCGAACAAAGCGATTCCGGCACTCTTCTTTATGATGACTAGCAAGCCGTAGGAACTGAAGCCGCTTGACTGAAGTAAAATCCACCGATATGCGCGGCATTCTCACTACAAATATAAACAAACGTCGCGGAGAAAAAAAGACGAGGAGGAAAAAATGCCAGATCTTCGCCTCGGCAATGTATTCCAGCTACCATGCCGGCGTATCTCCAGAAGGAGGACTCGACGTGGGACAAACCTTGTGATCTTTTTTTAGAAGCCCTTTGCGCGCAAACTAATTTATTCTGGCGCGAAATGAAGAATATGTATACTGAAATCTAATCCACGACAAGAAGATTTTCGCACTGTAGCGCGACATATTAAATGCCTATTTTTACAAGTACGCGGAGAAAGTGGTCCACTAGTTTAACTTTTTTAAGATTAATTTTTACTCCACAAAAGCAAAATGAAATGTTTTATCTCTATGTTGTTTACGTGCCTGATTAGAAGGCAGAAGTAAATTCATCATTGGCAGACCCCATCAAAATGAAAGTACACGAATGAAACGGAATAAGTCTGGGACGGTTTAGTTTCTACTCAGCAGCTTCTTTGCTTTTATAACAAAAATTTAATGTTGCAGTCTGTTTTAAACGTTGGCATATCAACGCGCACAGTCACTGAATGAAAACAACAGTCACGATCACGTTCTTCGAAACCGACCAGACGCGCGCGACCTACCACTGTTATGGCAAGCAATTATCCTGAAGGTGTTAATGTTCCCGTGACAGTCTTCGCACTGAAGGTGTAAATGGTAAACCGAACGGTCGCTCTGATCATCAGAAAGACCTGTCAACTTTGATGATTTAACTGATTAAATTACGGGACAGAAATTTTACTGCTTGCGGCTCCTCGGGGCGGGGCAATGAAGTACAATACCTATACCGGCGATTCAGTACAACAAAATAAAATAAAATAAAATAAAACGGTCAACTACTTTGACCTACTGCAAGTATGTTAATTAATAAGGTAAGCGATGATGCATGGCAGTGAAATGGTCATGATGTAGTAATCTCAATAGGTGGGATCTTTTTTATAGAACGCTTTGTATGTTGCATGACGAAGAAAAGCTGAGCATTCAGTGACCTTGTAGCAGCGATTTCCGCCGCTTTGCATGAGACTTTTGTTCGTAGTAAATACGCTAGCAGTGTTGCTCAGTTTTTGTTATATTTATAAAGATTTTGTTCGACAACTGAAGGCGTTTCCGCCGTCCTTCTGTCATTTTTGTGCCCGTGAAATGTCCCCGGGGTGGGGGCATTTGATCACCTGAATGGACCCTAGTGTGGGGTATTTGAACGGCATTTTGGCCCGGGTAGGGGGGAATTTGAACAATAATTTTCAAGAAAGGCAAATGCCCGGGGGGGGGGCATGTTGAAGCTTCGATTTGACCGATACATTATTTTGACAAAAATGGCGAATCTGGTGAAAATTTTGCCATAGGTATGGCGAATATTCAAACTGGGTTGCTGAAGGGGTCCCTTGGATTGCCGATTTTGTCGAAAATGGCGAATCGGGTGAAAATACCGAAAATGCGAAAGTTAGCCAGGGGTCCGTTTGCAGAACATTAACATGACTCGATTGGCTTTACTTAACCCGTGAGACAACATTTATCAAATACAACTGAATCAAATACACCAGAAAACAACAGATTACTGGAAGTGGTGTCAATTATGTACTTGCAGCATGTACTTCACAGGTTAAAGTAAACATTTTCTTATTATTTAATTACTTACAAAGTCGCTTGACTTACCAAAAGTAATGTGTTGCGCTGAAATATCACACTACCATCATTTGGTCTGATAGGCTTTTGATGTGGCTGCTTTAATTGGCTTAAATTGTGCTCATGGCTCTATGAGAGGCTGAATCAGACATAGGTCTGTGGGGCCGGAATTGACACTGGGACTGAAACAGATCTTTCAATTTTCAGTGTACTGTAGTCCCTCCACGCGCACGATCCAAAACAGGTCAAAATCTTTCTAGCCTGCGAAAACATCCGTTTCTCCTCGCTCTTCGCCGCTGGGGACGTTTCGCCCATTCTCAGACGTCCGAGGTCGTTCGCGGTCCCTTTCGCTTTCGGGAAGCGAAAGGGACCGCGAACGACCTCGGACGTCTGAGAATCAGGCTACCGAAATTGTAGGTGGATCCGAAAGCTAGGGGAGGACCTGATCTTGACTTGATAAACGATTCCCTGCTAGCATGCTGCTGGCGGTGGCCTCTTTTACCTTTTATTCGGCTGACTGGTAATACCAGGGAAAAGAAGTCTCTGCTAGCTAAACAGAGAACTTACGGGGAAAACGAGTAACGGTATTTGAACAGGATTAATCCACCCCTTTTCAATCTGACTGAAATACACATGTAAACCAAATGTAAACCAGACTTGATGTAAACATTCTAGAAAAAAAAATGCAATTTGAAGCTCGCTCCCTTCAAACAGTTAACCAATCAGATTTGACAGTCTTACGTAGTCTTGGCGAACCCACCAATCAGAGTTTACTTTGAGGTGAATCCGCTGTGAGTTCGCTGGCACGTGTCAGGCATGCAAACGGTTGTATCTCGTAGATTTCAGTTAGGTAGCGGAAGGGTGTTTATTTTGCACGAATTTAAATCCATTTCACTCCGAAAATTGGATTTCTGATGTTTTCAGTACTTTTTGCAAAAAATGAATGATTCCATTTCTACTCGTTGCGCTAAACTCAATCAGATTTTTGCTGGTAAAAGTGTCGGTCGCAAGAGCTCGCCGAATGGCGCCGGCTTTACTCGAGAGGCTTTGCTGGATGCATTTCTTGTACTCTTCGAAGAATGCAGCTCTGAATTTATGCTCAAGGACAAGAACATATCTGGATTTGTGAAGAAATGTAAGTATAAAGAGCCTTATTGGTCACAGAAATCACTTTATTTCTACCACATGCATGGTTCAAGGCAAGGTCAGTCGATTATAAATTTGGTCTGCTGATCGACTTCGCTAGCTTGACACGATCTCGATGCCAGTGATGATCAATAAAATAAGTCTTACTTAACAATTTTTTTTATATTTTCCTAATCACACAGACCAACCTGTGGTTGATGATCTTCGAAAACTTTGTTTAAGCAAAGACGATTTCAATGTTCTTAACACCATTGGCAGAGGACATTTCGGACAGGTACCCTGTAATAAAGGTCTCAGTAAGCTTTTAGCACGTCAGACGTGAAGTAATGTAAAAAGGCTACCTTATTTTTTTAACTTTTTGGGTTATTCTTATGTATAATTAGACGTATTTGAGTTTAATGATGCTTCACTGCATACCTGACAAGAAACTAACGGAATAAAATACCACAAATGTTTTGGTTATTTGCATCTTCTATTTTTAGGTCTCAGATTCCATGTGCAATATACAATGTACATTTTAGGTGTATAGCAGTATAATATTACTTTTTCTTATTTTGGGCAACAGAAAAGGCAAATAAACAAAATTATCAGTAATGATTGTTCATTCTGATCTGAATGCACGGTTTAAAGTTAATTTTTTTTAAACTTAAAATTACAAAAAGGAAAAAATTTATTTCACCCCCCTTTATTATTGTTGTGGTAATATTTTAGGCCAAAGTATAAACTTACATCACCTACTTTACAGGTTCAAGTTGTCAAAGACAAACAAAGTGGTGATGTATTTGCTATGAAGACATTGAACAAGACCCAAACTTTAGCTCAAGAAAGTGTAAGTACAGAGTGGAGACATTTGTAACTACTTAACTGTGGCAAGATTAGCAAAGAGGGTTACCCGGCATTCCAGTTAATTCTTTCAAGGGGTTGCGGGGGGGGGCTCATATAGACCATCTGAGGGGTCACCAAGACCATGTGCGAATTTTTTTTGTTGCATTTAAGTTAACACTTATATCTCATCAGTCTGGTCAGGAAGCCTTCTTTGTCGGGTCATTGACCCAAGACCCATCTCTTATCTGGAACACTGGTTTTTTGCAGAGTGGGATTGTGTGGGGCTGGTTCCCGTGACTGGAAAAATACTCAGACAGAGTCTGAGACTGTTTCTAGGGACACAGGGGGAAAAAAGGCATTAGCTGACCGGCGCATTCCCAGAAACAATATCATGAGACACATTTTGGCGCGAGTTCCCTTCACGTTTCTGAAGTGCAAATGGACATCTCTGTAATGGAGAGATTTGTAGAGGAGTTTGACTGTAGATGTATGTGTAACCTTCAGACGGGGGTGTTGATAGCTGAAATATGGAGGGATCTGTGTGGACAACGATTTATCCTCTAAAAAGTGTAAAAATTAACAATTTCTATGACTAAGGCTAACTTGTTTAAAGTTGGGCAAAATTTGAAAGTCACTGACTGTATTTTAGCCAATTTACATTTTTCTTTTGTCCATTATTAGGTTGCATTCTATGATGAAGAAAGAGAAATAATGGCATTGTGCAACTCTCCCTGGATAACAGCACTCCAGTATGCCTTTCAAGATGCCCATAATCTTTATCTTGTAATGGACTACCACCCTGGTGGTGACTTGTTGTCGTTACTTAGCAAGTATGATGATGTGTTGGAAGAGGAAGTTGCAAGGTTTTATCTGGCAGAGATGGTGATGGCTATTCACAGCCTGCATATGCTTGGTTATGTCCATAGGTAAGACATAAGCTTATTACTATTGAGCCTACGTAGCACGCGTTTCTGTGTAGTTTCGGAGCAAAGAAAGACCGAGAAATGGGATTTTCGGTTTTGGCCGAATGAAAAAAAGATCGAGAGACATTTTTCAGACAAGCTTTCTTTGTTCCGAAACCTCACAGAAATGCTTGCTACGCAGGCTTAATACCATGTAACTGATTTAGCTGTAAATTAATTAGTTTTTGCTGTGGTTTTCAACAATGTATGTCCTAGTGTATGTCATGACCTGCCTAGTGTTTTCTCTTCAATTTTATCATCTTTCATAATTAGTTATAACTGAGAAAATCAATGGTAGCAGCAGGAGAACTTCGTGAAATATGAACATAGGTATATAATGTCACGTGTGAAATAGAGCCATAGCACCCTCTAAGATAGCCTGAGAAAACTGCTGACATTTCAAGACACCAATGCTGGTGTTCCTGAGAATCAAAGTCCGTAGAATGAGTGAGAAATTCCATCTTGATGATGTGTCACTTACCCAGGTCTGGGTAGTGCTTCTGATTGATTGAAAATTTGCTTCAACTAATCAGAGGCACCAGTGACCCAGGTCTTGTTAGTGACACATCATCAGGATGGAATTTCTGAATTTATGTTGGCTGGTTTAATGTACAACTAGCCAGATACCTACAGCTGTATGTCATTCTGAGTTTAAAGCTTAAGTTAAGTCAAGTATAGGATGCTTTTAACAAAAGGTGTGACACAAAGTGAGTGATTAAACTGACTCTTACCTGTGTTGAAAGAAAAAGCAAGACATCTGATTGGTATTTAAAAGCATATATTTCATGTAGTACATCTAGCTACTAAAATCGAGGGACAAGTGTAGTAGTGCTACACATCAAAAGAATTAAATGGAAAAAAAGATTTAGTTTCTCCTGCTCAATTACTTTGCATATAGTTCCTTGTAACCTTTTATTGAACTCAAACATTGTGATGATCATTTTTTCGGAAGGGATATCAAACCTGATAATGTTCTTGTTGATCGGACTGGACATATTAAACTTGCTGATTTTGGCTCATCTGCCAGGCTTGCAGCGGACAAAAAGGTGAGAAACTTTTAACTGGAAATCCTATGTTAATTCTCAAAATTCAGTGGCTTGGAATGCATTACACATGTGTTACCGCACAAATAAAGCTAATTTTAGATCAATAAGAGCAAACATTGAGGGTATGGGTTTAATGAAGGGAAGGCTTAATTTGCAAGGGAACTCTTAGAATACGGGCTACTCAGGGTTATCATAAGTAGCTACAATCCTGGACAGAACTACTTGAGAAAATGTTTTCATTAATGCGCACTACCTAACGCAACAAAACTGTTTCCAAATCAACGGCTTTACGTAAAGAAAATCCTCTCCCCCAGTTCAAAGTTACTTCCTACAAATGCTTAGAGATCTGGCTTTCTTTTGAAGACCCAACAACACTGCTTCCAGGGGGAGGGGGAAGGGAAGAATCAGTCGGCTACGAAGTTTAGAAAAAATGCCCCCCAAGTATGCAATTTTCTCAACAGTTTTGTTCCAAGATTGTAGCCATTTCTCCTCGCTCTGCACTGCTGGGGAAGTTTTGTGAGGATCAGGAACGTCTGCAACTCAGTGACAGAAATTCCATACTGATACGTGACATAAATCATGAATGTTTACGTAATATTAGCATATTAGCGAGATTTTGCCTCTCCCTCCTCCGTAGAAGTTCCTGATAGGTATCCCAACAAAAATAGATATAATAAAAAAATAGAAAGCATACAGGGGAGAGGCCTCTGTGGAAGGGAGAGGAGATTGGTTATAGCAAATTTGAAATCAATTAACAAACACAGATTATTATTTAACCTCCTACCTGTATTTCATCTGCCAAATTAAGATTGAAAACATATAATCAATACAGCTATGTTTTATGTTAGGATGTTAACCCACATGATGGTGGACTTGTGTTAAACTTGAAAAAATACAACTAGTAATTTAAAGATTCATGTGTTTATTGAAAGCTGCCTGAACAATCATGCATTTGGTGAACTGTACAATATTATAATTATTGTTGGTTCTAGGTGCATAGCAAGATGCCTGTCGGCACTCCAGAATACATAGCCCCCGAAGTACTCACAAGTATGGATGGTTCAGGGGGGCCATATGGCTTGGAGTGCGACTGGTGGTCCCTAGGAGTGGTCGCTTATGAAATGTTGTGTGGACAAACACCCTTTGAAGCTGACTCTGTTGTTATAACTTACAGCAAGATTATGAACTACAAGGTACTTGACAACGTGGATGTTGTTAGTTAAAAATAAGACAAAACAGTCTTCGACTAAAAAACTACATTTGATACAATTCGTCCATTATGAAGAGGGATTTTTTGAAATTACGTGATTTCTACTAGAATTTTCTGGCAATTTCAAGATTTTCTGATTTACAGTGAGATTTGGAGGCTAAACCGTGAGACCATATAGGCTGACAGCCCAAACCGTTAAGTTGAAAGGTCTGTGAAGGTCCTAAGTTTCTAATACCTTGTGGGGAACCCTTGTCCAGTGGGAATAAAGCTAAATTTCATGTACATGTATACCCTCGTAAAAAAACAAACTAGATTATACCACGCTCTAGTCCTTCTATTGAGCACTCTGCTGATATGTGTGCATAAGTATCAACTGGTGTATACCCTCCTAAATATACTTTGTCTAATTTCTAGTGCTTTACTGTTGTTGTAGAGTTCTCTGAAGTTTTCTAAGGATGTTCCGGTCAGCAAAAATGCCAAAGATATGATTTTCAATCTGTGTACTGACAGTAAAGATAGGATCGGTTATGAAGGACTCACTTGTCACCAGTTCTTCACGGGCACAGACTGGAACAACTTGCAAGATAGTAAGTGCAAGAATTTCATCTAGGTTTGAAAAAAATGTAATGAGCAAATGAAAAATGATAGATCATACTTATAGCAGTTATTAATTTTATAAAGTGAGGAAAACAGAAAAAGTCAGGAAAATACTCAAACAATAATATTCTGGAACCCCACTGGACACGTCTATCGTTAGTGAAAGTAAAAGATGTTGACGCCTCGTTGAAGAGACTCGCGCCAAAAAAGCATTAAACGGTGCAGTTTTTCAAATTAATGAACAGCAATGCTTAATGCTGGCATTCTTTTTCAACAACTGAGCATTTTCGTGTGCTTTTGTAACTTTCCAAAAACTTCTAGCGACCAGACCAACCTTTCATGACTGAGCAAAATATACAACTTGTAAGGGGAGGGTCTAGGAAGCACAAGGAAACGACTTTCTATTTTTTTTAAACTTAGATGGAGTCTTTGAGAATTCGACTCTAGAAAAGTTCACCAATATTTACCAAATTGGACGAAATTAATTTAAGTGAGAGTATTGAATTTCGAAATAGCATGGATACACTTTTTAAGAGACGTTTTCGCCACCGTCGTAGTTGCGTAAGCTCCCAATATGATCAAATTATTGATACCATATTTTGTTTTAGCTGTGCCCCCATACGTACCTAACCTGGATGGCGCAGCAGACACTTCGCATTTTG